TTACTAAATAACACAAGGTAGTATCTCCTAAAACCATTGTCCTAGAGAAAAGAGATTTAAGTAATACAAACACTGCAGTAAGTTGCAGCCTCTCTGGGTTATGCTGATGCTTACTAAATACAACTTGACACCCCAAGTGGTGAGGAAATTGTCCACTAACGGGAAGAACTGACAAAAAGAAAACATCCCCCCAGTGGTACAGAATTGCGACTTAGGAGAAAAAGAGCCAAGAGTTCTCTTGGCACTAAGAGCTGTTTGAAGGCAGCAAACGATACTGTAGAAGCTGTGATGTTGTCAAAGTCATTCTTCCATACAGAGAACTTGTAGATAGGAAAGACCCCCTGCTTGCGCAGTGGAGACATTCAGGTGGAGGGAAACTTTTAATATAATTCAGTGATTAGGTTTTTTACCGTAGCACCATTTCAGTAGCAGGGCATGTTGTAACTACAAGGGTTGAGCAGATGAGAGTGTGTTTGAATTTCAGGTTTGATTATCCAAAGATGCAGTTCAAAACACTAAGCCATAAATTAGTCTGCATTTAAAAGAGGATGTGCAGTGCTAATTTTGCTTCGCTGTGAACTGTCTGATAATTGGCATGAAATTAGGCTTGGAAACTCTTGTTTCACACTACTAAGCAAGCAGGTTTCCTTCCAGAAAGGAAACACAATTAATTCTGGTATATTATAATTTTATTATAGGTCACTATTCAATAAGTTTTGCCTGTGCTTTGGTAGATTATAGGCCTTAATATTTTCATAAGTCTTAACTTTTAGTGTAGTGCTATGTTTGCTATGTCCATTTGTTAAATTTTTCAGTAAAAGATGAACCATAATCCAAGGTGTCTGTTACCTTGCCATGTGAATATCCTTTATCGTAACCTTAAAACTGTAAATATAACATTAAATATGCAGGTAAGGCATGGTCAGTGTTGCTTCTCGACACGGAGTCAAATCATACTTTGATTAGCAATGGGCATTGCCAAATGAGCGGGACAGGAAAATAAAGGTTATGCTTTAAGCCTGGGAATAAGAAGGTAGACTGAGGTGCATGAGTCGTTTTGCCTCTCCAGACCAGTTTAGAGCAGTAAATTAAAATGAAATGAGAAGACTAGTTTGCAACGATTAAAATTGGAACGGTGGAAATGGCCTTTAAGATACTTAAACATGATGGTGACAATTTTGTTTGACGTGGACAAAAAATAAACTGCCTGGAAGTCCACTCCAAGCTGTTTGCTACAATTTCTCTGCCAAAATTTCACTCACCTCCTTCTCTCTGATCCATCAGCCAAGTTGCTCATGTCGTTGGCTTCAGACAAAGCGAGTTAGTAACCTGCTGTTTGAGCTATACATGTCAGTCAAGCTCTGTAAGGGGTTAGGAAGCAACCGTATAAATACCCCAGCAAACACATTTGAGGGGAAGGCAACTCCTGGCAAGGCACTGGGGACAGCAGCTGAATGAAATACTGTCTAACAGGATGATAACCTCAGGGAAAACTTCCGCGTGACGTGGTATTTCTGTATCCTGCTACCAATTAAATAGAGCAAAGCCAGGTAATGGTGGGGGGAGGTGAAGGGATTTGAAGAGAGAAATGAAATTGTACTCTGCTACCCATGTAATAGCTCAGTACCTGTTGATACACCTGTAAGCAGAAAATTGCACCCGCCTGGCATTTTACAGGACCTTTAGGTAGCTGCAAATGAGAGAAACCAGCCTTTAGATTTCACTGAATTAGGCACTCTGTGCTGAAGAGTTGTGAACTTGGGTTAACCAGCCAGCTGGGAGACCCTTGGAGACACCCTAGGAAGTCATCTGGGTCTTGGGATCTGGTGGAATTAAAGAGTCACAGCGAGGACTCCTCGCAGCTTTCCTGATACAGTGTTTATTGGGATAAACTGTAATATTTTAAACGCATGGTATCTTAACTACAAGAAAGTATGTTGGAGTGGACTAGACTTAACGAAGTAGCTTGATAGGGAGTTAATTACCTAAAATCCTGTGGTACAACACTGTGTATTGCATCCTGTGGTGTGGTATTTACATTCTAAGTGGTCACTGAAGCACCTTAACGCTGGGGCTTCTGACAGAGTTTACCTGGCGTGTACTCACCACACCGTAAGAGCACGTGTACGTCTTCCCTGCGTTACACCAAAACTGGAGACTTTATCTGGCATTTAAATTGTGCCCGTGAGCTTTTTGTCTGTTTTCCTTTGCGCGGGTGAAAACACGGGTGAGGAGCCATCCTTTTTACAGTCCCTTTCACCATAACTAAAACCTACTTGATGTGTCGGTTTTTTCCTCTTTATTGCCAGATCTATAAGGGTCCGGACTGGTCGTTCCGATACACGGGCCTCCAGCTGAACTGTGAATACCGTTTCCGCGCCTGTGCCATTCGGCAGTGCCAAGAGCCAGTAGGTCACCAGGACCTGATAGGCCCCTACAGCGTGCCAGCGCTGTTCATCTCTCAGAGGACTGAACCACCGGCGAGCGCCAGCAAGGACACTGTGCAAACCGCAAGGACGCAATGGTCACAGAGCGACCAAGTGTGTGCTGCTGTCATCCTTGCACTTTTCGCTATCTTTTCCATTCTGATTGCTGTTATCATTCAGTACTTCGTAATAAAGTGAAGAAAAGAGGTTTATTTTAGAATGCTGCCCATTACATTTTCCTTTCTCATAATCTAAAAGTAATTCTGTTCTCTTGCTTTGACAAAACCAGGCATTCAGCACCGGCACTGGGACTGATGCAAACCTTTCCAGCCACTTCTAAAACGCTTACTGGTAGGTGTAGGCTGACACATGTTCCTAAAAAGCAAGCCACAGAAATACCACCTTTTCTTTAATGTATGCCTTCTTGCAGTACAGACTCTATATGGGGCAGGCGAGCAGTGTTTAATGAAAAGGGGTTGACCAGTAAAACTCGAGTGCAAAAATGGTTTCCTGGCCCGCACTTTCAAGGGTTGCTACCGTTACCAGGGAAGAACGTGTAGATAGCATTTAAAACTTACACTAACAAACTTATGCTGTATACAATATTAATCTGATGCTGTGAAAGCAATTTAGCGCTGTATTTCTACCTCCTCATTTGTCTTAATTATTTGGGAAGCAGGATTTATGCTGAAAAACAGAAGGGGCTTTTCTCAGGCAGCAAATAATAAACTGGATGGAAGAGTATGCATGAAGGAAGCTTCTTACCTGATAAATGTGGAGTTCTTCACTGCAAGTAGATGTTTTCGAAAGACTGCGAGGGGATGGCACAAGTGGTTTATCTTACCCCCAGGATTTGATGTTTACTTACAAAAACGCCTCTCCTACTTCTTACGAATATAGAAGGGAGAGCTGTGAGAGAACTTCCTAGACTTAACAACTCTTTAAATTGAAAAACACATTTCCGAAGTTGACCTTTGATGGGATGCAGTTTATACAGATGTCTGTGCCCTCTGATTTTGGCTAGTTAATAATAGATTTTGGAGATAAAAGTCATTACTGAATTTTTGCCGTTTCCCTGACATTCACTTGCCATATCCACCAGAATCAAGCACTGCCTTTTTTTCATTTTCTTGCCGTCTTTCTCTCTTTCTTTGGGGCACCAAATGGGAAGACGAAGTGTAGTAATTTGCACCAGAAAACTTAAAAGCTGCTTTTTTTCTTGAGATCCTAATGTTTAATGTAATGTCTCTTCGGATACTGTACCAAATTGTTGATTGCATGTAGTTAATGTTGCATTAGAGCACTTTGCAATTGCATAACTCATCAATGTTTCGTGAGCTTGCATTTGTGAGTTCTTGAATGACCAGACTGAATTTTATCAAGTAACCCATTGAACATCTCGCTAGATGTCAATGATTGCCAGTGACACAAAGCTTGTAGTGAAACTATCTTCAAAGAAAAAAAACAACAAAAAAAAAAAACAAAAAAAAAATCCTCGTCTCATCACACTCGCGTTATTTGTTATACACTTTGTAATTAGCTATTTTTAATTTATTTGAGTTACGAGATAGTGGATCATTAATGACTTCTAGTTGTGTTCAGTTTAGCATTTTTAATGGTATTAAACACTTCTGTCGGTCTTAATAATAATAAAAAAAAGGAACCTCTGTCTTGTGCTTTGAAGATCTCTGAAGAATTTCTCTTATCTTAGAACGGGCATGTGTTGTAATTGTTTATACGTCCAATGATCTGTGCTGTAGAATAATGTTGCCGAGTTTCGTTTTTTAAAAAAAAAAAAAAAAAAAAAAAAAAGAAAAAGAAAAAAAAACCCACAAGAAATGGCGAAGAGCTTGGCCTCCACGTGGCGAGAACGATCCGTCTAAAATGTACTGTATGTTTACATTTTATTTTGAATTTGTCATTTGTACGTATAGGCTGATACCTTCCCACAGGATACCGCGATAACTGATGTTTTCTAGAACCTTCTCAGAAGTGCCATGTTTGGCAGTGCAAATGAGGTTGCGTGTAACAGCCCAGAGATTTCTTACGGTTGAATGTCTAAAACGGTAAGATTTGTTACTACAGTTAATCTGCAGTGACTTATGTTTTTCATAGTAAAATTCAAATGAGCTCCTATTTTTGATAGTCATTTAATAGTGTATTTGCCATTTGAGCCTCAGTGCGTATTACTGCATTGAAGACAGTTTTTAATGTAATCTTAATTTTACCTCATATACTGTACATTCCAAAAATAAATTTTAAAAAAAAAAAAAAAAAAGAAAAGCTCTAAACTTTTTAAAACGTTATAGATACACTACCAAACATATCACTTTACAATTGTACAACGTCGGACTCCGTGAAGACGAACCTGTATAGTCTGATAGAAAATACATAAACTATGTAGCAAAGTATCTTTAAAAAAAAAAAAAAAGTCTGTGGAAAATAAAAGTATCATTCTTTTTTGGTGGTGGTGGTCAGTCCCCTTCGCGTGCAACACTGCTGCTCGAGCGCTGCTGCTTCTTTCCCCGCCTGCCCAGCGGCCGTGTGGTGTTGCCCTTGGGTGGGGGGGACGCCATGCCCCTCTCCCACCCCTGGGCAGCTTTCAGCGGCTCCATGGGCTGCAGGTGGGGCAGGGATGGGGCCAAGATGGGAGGATTTGGGATGGTGGCATGAAGGGTGGCAAGGGCCGCCGTCTGCCCAGGGCTCTTGGCAGTTGGCGTGGCAAGTAACCTCCTGGCAGTGCTGGCCATCCGCGGCTACCGCAACACAAAGACCACCACTACGATCTGCTCATCATCCTGGGGCCACCCTTCGGCCTCTGGCGCTCCCAGCGCTGGAGCTTCGCTCTCCCACTGCCTCAGCGAGGGCTGCACCTACTGCGCTGTCCTCTGCCTCGCCATGGAGCGCTACCTCCCCCTCTGCTTCCCCCACAAGGCCAGGGTGGTTGTCACCAAGCACCAGGTGAAGGCCATCATAGGCCTCCTCTGGGCCTTTGCCCTCCTCTCCACCAGCCCATTCTTCCTGGTCAGCGTGGAGCAGCCCAACAGCCACCCCAACTCCAGCTGCGACTGCAAGCCCGCCCCACAGGCTCTGGAGTCCAGCCTGCTGGCTGCTGTTCTGGGTCACCACCTCTTACTTCGTCCTGCCCGTCATCTGCCTCAACATCCTCTATGGCTTCATCAGCTTGGAGCTGTGATGGAGCAATGCCCATCTGCAGGGCCCCAGTGTGGTCCTCCGGGAGAAGGGGTGCCACCAGACCATTGATATCTTGGGTGAGTCCCTCCTCTGTCCCTCCTCGGGCTGCGGGGCCGTGGCTGGGGGGCTGTGGCTGGGGCCAGGAGCGGGGCTGAAGCACCCGCAGCTCCCAGGCAGGGTAGGGATAGCGCAGGAGAACATCCCGGCCACTCCAGTGCTCCTGGGGGCAGACACAGCAGGGATTTCGGCTCCCTCTCGGCTGACGCTTCACCTACAACGGTGTGGCATCGCGCATCCAGCAGCACGACCGCCTTTTGTAGCAATGCCCTTTTTCTGAATTTTGCCAGGCAGAACCAAGAACAAGGTAGTCTGCAACTTCAGAACATCTGTGGTGACAGCACAGCGGGCAGCAACGCCTCTTGGGCAGTAAATTTCTGCTCCTGAAAACCAAGTTGGATTCTTCCTGGTCCTCTTTTGTAGCTCTCCTAGAAGTAAATCCACTGGCTGCCCAAGCAGGCTGAAAAACAGGAGCTGAATCCTTACAAGCCATTTGCAGACAAACCACGTAATACAGGAGGGTTTCCTGCTAATGTGGGATGCCGTTAATTTTCAGTTCATTTTCTTAGTCATATGTTCACTAACCTAGCGTCAGGCTCTGGAAAGTCAGAGCTTGCAGTCTGCCCTGGGGCTTCAGAGTTTGTAAAGAGTGACTGATCTGAAGGAAAACAAAAAAAAAAAAAAAAGGAAAGAAAAAAAATCCCAACTATTGAGTAATGAGCAGAAAACAAAATGCCGTGGGCTTGGAGGTTTGGGGGGGTTTCTGCCTTTAGTGAAGGTTTTACATGCTACATGGGAGACTTATTTTACCAACGATTGTAGTCAGCTGGATGGAAATAGCGTAGCCCAAGAGAGTACATGCTGCTAACTTCTTTGGGAACGTATTTACCTTGGGGGAGGCAAGGCAACACCCACGTCCACGATCTCCTCAGAATGCGCTGAACCAGACTGATCCCCCTTTATCTCAAAGCGCCAGCAGCACTACACGCGTGATGTATTTCAGGTGTAAACTTACTTTGGCTATATCCCCCCCCCCTTTTTTTTTAAGCTCTGAGAAACATAAAGGATGCTCCATTGATTGTTTGTTTTACTTAGGTGCACTTATAAACAACAATAACTAAAAATATGGATACAGTAATATGCTTTTTTAATTGTTCCTCATCTGCTCCTCCTATGTTGCCATTGCAAGAGCATCTGTATTTGTTTGTATTGCGCTAAAACGCAACCTGAGACCGTGAGAGCAGCTGGAGCGACTCAGGCTAGAGATCCATCTCCTCAAGTATCTGTCTCCAGGAGTAATTGTCTGGGGAATACGTGTAGGAACTTTGGTGAGGAAAAAAAAATTAATAGACCAACTACACAGTGAGCCTTTACATTAGCAACGATCCCGTTAGTGAATTCAGCGGGAGCGTGGGTGACTGAGGTCCAGCCCTCACGCTGCCATCTTTTTCAGTAATGCAGATGCATTAAAGAAAGCTCTGTAACGAACAGAGCTGCCGCGTGCTTCCGGGAAATCATTTCTTATTCTGACTTCCATTTTCATATCATAGAATCATACAATCATAGAACCGTTTAGGTTGGGAAAGACCTTTAAGATCATCAAGTCCAACCGTTAACCTAACCCTGCCATCCCACCACTAACCCATGTCCCTAAGCACCTCATCTATCCTTTTAAATCCCTCCAGGGATGGGGACTCGACCACTTCCCTGGGCAGCCCAGTCAATGCTTGACAGCCCTTTCAGTGACAAAAATTTTTCCTAATGTCCAACTTAAACCTGCCCTGGTGCAACTTGAGGCCATTTCCCCTCGTCCTATCGCCCGTTACCTGGGAGAAGAGGTAACACACGTGGCATTACAGATGTTCCCGAGGAGAATCTCTGTTGTGCCTGACATCATTGTATGGATGTTGCGCCCCGTTGTTTACATTTTTCTCAGCAAACTTACCTCACAATTTAGCTGAAGATTTTACCAGCTACCTTTTAATCCAAAGACTAACAATCAGACTTGATGCTGTTCCCGTTTTCATGGTTTTCCAACAATTCAACACCGTTATTTCTATGTATCATTTGTACCAGTTAGAAGCACCTGCAAAATCAGCTATGTAAAATTTAGTTTACCGGATTAGTTAACTTGCTCCTTAACCATCACACGTGCTGTCTTATGGCTGTGGTGGTTCTGGCCCCTGTAATTTGCTGGTTGCCTTTCCACACTGGCAGGATTGCATTTGTAAACACCCAGGACGATGCTGTTCTCTCAGCACTTTCATATACTCGCTCTGCAGCTTTTCCACCTGAGCGCATCCATCAACCCTACCCTCTACAACCTCATCTCGAAGAAGTACAGGGCAGCAGCCTCCAGGCTGCTGGTTGCCACCAGGAGCTGCAGAAAGGGCTTTCCCGGCAATGAAAGACGCTGGTGGCTACACCAAGACCAGTGCTAGCACGAGACAAGTACCCCACCAGCCCCTGAGACCACAGCCCACGCTTTTCCAGGCATTCTCTGCAAAGGGAGGGAACGTACTTTTCACGGGAGAGTTGCAGCAGGACGGACATTTGTCAGGCCCTGTGGTATTTTGAAACCATTTGTATTTTGAAATACTTGTGGGTTTGTTAACAAAGCGAGCAGGGACCATGAAGTAGTGAGAACGATGTGCAACTTGTGAAAGGTAACAGGAAAAGCTGGAGTAAATTGCCAGTGAAACGGTGGTTTCGGTTTGCACATGTTGGCTGCATGTGTTCTGCGCCATTTCTAGTATCTGCTAAAAATCCTAACAAGGACCGCTAAGGAGAAGGAAGTTTGCGGTAGCAGTGCTGCCCAGGTGCAGTAATGGGTAAAACTCCCAGACAGCCTTTGCCATTCTAAAATGTTTTTTTCAGAAATGAGATTTTTTACAAAACACAGTCTTGGGAGGAGATGGACACAAAAGAAATTACCCATCACCCTGAACATCCTTGGAAGAAGGGGGCGTATATTTTTAGGACTGGGTCTTGTAATCATGAAGGGGAGTTTCCTGGGCCGTTTCACTGACTCTGTCCCTTGGGAAGACAACTCCTCTGCACAGCAGCCTCTGGCCTTAACCCTTTTGGTCTGACCCATGCAACCAAATAAGGTCTCATTTATATACCAGCAACCGATCCACTGTACCTGTAAGAGTTTTGATATTCCTGATCACTTCCTTATGATAGACGGGTGGTGTTTGGCTAATGTTAGCCATGTCTCCACCGTGCCACGCTATGTACGGCGCGTGCAAATAACGCACCGAGTTAACCCGCCTGGCCACAAACAAGGCCCATCACCCAGTGTGCTGGATGGCACCCAGAATGCACTCCAAGCCAAAACCCAACTCGCTAATTTTGCTCCGAGGATTTTTAAACACAAATGTAAACTATGTGATTTAGGAAGAATCGCTTGTTGTGAGGAAGAGCGAGAAGGAGTTGCAGTACCTGTTTCTCTGGGGGGCCCGTCACAGCTATGCATTTTACCCATTACCTTCCTGGCTACAGCAATATAAAGCTGGATCAGAATCAATTAAGCGGGACTGGGCTTACAGGAGCATCACTGGTGGTACGGATGCCCTTGGTTATCTCTTAGACCTTCCTAATTAACATGGCTGTGGTTCAAAAAATGAACAGTGGTGGTTACTGTGTGCTGGAGGTCACTGCAATGGTGTTTGCCACCACGGGAAGCAGAATTCAACATCCAGCTCAGAGATCTCAAGACGGCAAAGTTGGACTTGAGCCTTCTCCAGGTTTTCAAAATATGACCCATTCTCCACTTAACAATCCACAGCATTCCGTCACTGAATAAAAAAAAAAAATAAATAAATCTTAAGACAGAAAAAAAATCCCCCAAACCCTAGCCCACTGCACACACATCAAGCTTTCTTCTGCTGTCAGCTTCATACCAGGGGAGAGCAGTTGTCTGCAGGGCCTAGGTTGGGTCACTTTTGCTGGGGGCTGGGGGGGGGGGGGGG